CTTTTAGTTATTGCCCTTTTATATACTAGTGTTAAAACATAGCAAAATGACCCGAGTTCGAAGTCGTCCAAATTATCACCATGTCAGCGACTTTGGCAATGGTAGATTATTGCCTATCGAGATGTTGGTTTGTCCTATCGCGAAATTGGCCGCCGTGTTAATGTGTTAATACTGCAATGACGGTAACGTGTGTGTGAATGAAAGAAGGTAGAGGAACACGAAGAAGGTCAACTGGTCCGATGAGGTGTACCGCAGAGCATCAAGATAGGCGCTCCAGACAACTAGCCCAACGAGACCATTTTGCTACTTCGAGTCAGATCGCTGACATAATCGTTTGTAGAAGAAGGTAGACTTGTTACTATGCGTGCACTCTATCGCCGCATTAGAGCGTTTGGACTTTTTTCATACCGTCATCGGTTAGTGCTTCCTCTGACTGCGGACTTGCTATTGTCAAGGTTTGAACTGGAGCAGAGAACGACAACATTGGCAGAATGGCATAGTGTCATTTTCAGCGACGCATCGCGATTCTGCCTAAGTACGCACGACGGTCATAGAAGGGTAAAACGCCGTCATGGAGTACGGCCTGATATTGGATTTACTCTAAAGAGGCATGTACACAGGACTGTTGGAGTCATAGTTTGGCGGTCTATTGTCCTACTACTTCTACTACTGTGCTACTATGCGTCAGATCGCTGACCAATGGCTTGGAGAAGAAGGTAGACCTGTTACTATGCGTAAACTCTACCCCCGCATTCGAGCCTTTGGACTTTTTTCATTCCGTTCACGATTAGTGCTTTTTCTGACTTCAGGCCACTGTCGTCAACGTTTGAACTGGAGCAGAAAACGCCAAATTGGGAGGCAGAATGGTATAATGTCATCTTCAGCGACGATTTGCGATTCTGTCTAGTTACGCACGATGGTCATAGAAGGGTAAGACACCGCCGTGGAGAACGGCGTGATATATGTTCTGCTGTTGAGAGGCATGTACACAGGACTGTTGGAGTAATGGTTTGGCGGGCTATTTGCCTATGGTAGCCGATCACCCCTTCTCTTTGTTCAAGGCAATATGACTGCTTAGCGTCATGTTGACGATATCCTATAAACCACTTTACTGGCGTCCACATGTCCTTTTTTGGTAAGACAACGCGCGTCTCATATCGCTCATCGTACTACATACTTTTCTCAATAAGCAGACGTTAATGCTTTGCCGTAGCTACCGTGTTCACCGGAGTTAAATCCCATCGAAGATGTGTGGGATATGATGACGAGACTATGCACTCTGCACCATCCGCCACAGACTCTGCCACAGCTAATCCACGAAGTTCATATTGCTTGGAATGAGGTGCCACAACCGAACATCGATCATCTCATTTTGTCGATGCCTAGATGTATACAGGAGTGCATTCAGCTGAGGGGTCGCCCAACATATTATTACTTTTTTTCTTATTACTTGTCAATAACATTTAGTGAAAATGTTATCGTTTTCTTCTTTATGTAAGACTAACTTATTGCCAAAAAAACAAGCTGAAGAAATCATTTTTCCTGGGTGTAAAACCTCTGTCAATGAGTGTATCATCTATTTCATAATCCTGGAATTTACTACATTTCATAAAGAAAAGATAGCCTCACAATAGGAAGGCGTTGACACGGAACAGGTGAAATCTAGAAGTACCCCAGCCTTTCTGAAGGAGAGAAAAGCCTGTGAAAATTCAGGAGGTCATAAAGGCGTCCTACAATTTTGTAGAAGCGACTGACGCTACGATCCGCAGTCAGACCGAGGTTATTTTAAGAAACTAAAATGCTCATAGTTGACTTTGAAAATGACAGTTCACATGTTTATCCAATTAATTCGCCATTGCTTCAGTGTTTGAAAAACGTGTTTGAAGGTCATTTAGATGGCATGCTGATTTTTTGAGCATAACAGGCGTTGTATTAGCACGATGGACACGCTCAACATGACACCTCACCTGTAGACATAAAATGTGTTTGGGGAGCTGCTCCAAACTGTTTCCATCAATTACATAAAACAATAGTGTTTTTAGTACTACTCTTAATTAACATAAACGTGTCTAGCATTAGGTTGTCCTTTATTCAATGAGTTAAGACCAGCTACAAGAAGATTGCTTTTTTACACATTTGAGGTTTTATATATAATATTAATCCATGTCACGGTATGTACAACATCACATCATTAAAACTGGAAATAGAGACTGTTCACCGATTTCTAGTTCGTAGAGGCTGAAGGCTTCACTTTTTCAAAAATCAAATATGGCGTCTATATGAAAAACAAAGATGATGATTGTGGACAAGAGACGAAACGTCATATTGAAATTCTACGTATACCATCCTGTAAAAGAGAAAAAGTTGCAATGTCAATGTACCTACTTTTCTTTTGTGTATCTCCGTAAATACTCGGAATTGCGAAACTTTCTGGTTGTTGGTTATCTAAATGCTCAAGTTTGTACCCATTCAACTGTCTTAGTAGTTCTTACTGCTTCGGATACTCAAATGGTGAGTGTCGAATTTAGAACACACGAGACGCCTAATTCCAAACATCTCAAAATCCACTTTACATTTTTCAGAAACAAGAAAGTTTGCTACTGGCCACAAAATAATCAAATCTGGCTACTTATATGTAGAAGTTGGTAGGTGTTAGTATAATGTTTGATATTTTGTCCACGAGAAAATCTGCCTACAATAGTGTTTTGACAAACAAAAAATATTCTTCGACTTAACTGCTTTTGAAAATCATTTCGGTTATTTTTACTGCATAATTTAGATGCGCTTGAAAGGAGAAAATGTACTGCTTCTTTATTATTTAATATAATTTCCAAAATAAACATTAAATGATATCCACTTTCTGAACGTAAGCCATTACACATATTTCTTCCATTTTCTCTACGATCGCTATCATTTTTTTCCACTACCATTACGAATATGGCAATGTCCTGGTAATACATACTTTTCGGAAATATTTTGCCAGTCGGCTGCAACATGTTTGCACAGCAGTTCAACCCCTTTTTTCGACTAACTACGTTGATATCTACCTTGTTTAATTCTGTTTGATATTCATATACTTTTGACAGGATTTCATCAAATTGCAAGTAAACTTCCCTGAAATGCTGAATTAATAATAGATAATTTTAATATTATGTGAAATGAACACGTCGGGTGTATAAAAGCCAGAGATAAACCCTTCTAGAGATGGGAAACTCCAATACCAGAATAAGTTACCGTATTTCTGCGACCTCTGGTGGATTGGTCTCACAACAGTGCTGAATAATGGGCCTTTCCACCTTAGTAGGACAAACCTAATGGGGCTTTTTACATTCTGTTAATAATAAATCGTCTTACGTAACAAAAACACTCCAAATGGGTTAATTTCCACTTTCTTAGTCATTAATACATGACGCGCATTTCGACACACAGTGTCTTTCTCCAATGCTGGGGTGAGTCGCGTGTCACGTAAATTGGATTTCCATCAAGTAAAGGCAACCACCGTTGAAAAAAACATTATAAATCTTAAGTGGGGGGCGAGGTTTAGCATAGTGCTATTCTGCCACGTAGTCACAACAAAAAAAAAATACAAAATATTAAACCTAAGATAAGTTGGAATGATATGATCAAAAGTTGTATAAGGATATTGTGTATAAAATATAAATAGCAATTTTACATTTGAAAGGAGAAAAATCTACATGTCTTTTTTTGAAGTGGTAGGTAAACGTAACGACGAGGTATATTTTGCTAAAATAGATGTCCTAACCAGTGTTCTAAATTTCTCGTCATTTAGCGATTTTATGGGGAGGAAGGGAGGAAATAAAATTAAAGAAATAATTATAGTCATTTTATGGTCAATCATTCATATACAAATTATATCACCTTTTCTCACAAAGCTAAATATAATAATAATAATGTCTTTAGAAATCCATCCACACTGCGAGGCGTAGTTTATCCAGCTGGCTACTGTACCACTTAACCTCACAGCGCAGAAACACATACAAAAAAAAAGATATAACAATGAATAGCAATCGACTAACTAATATATACAATAATTAAGGCTTAAATAGAGTAATCTTAAGATGTTATACATCTATACTACATGGCCCGCTCTAACAAAAAAAAAAGAAATATATCAGCTAGCTTGGCTAGCAGACCCCAGAAGATGGTTCTTAATGGCTCTCTTGAATGCAAGTATTCCCTTCTTTAAAAATCACATCATTTACACCTGAATTGTTGGGAATCCGGTTTAATAGCTGCATTATTGTTTTTTTTTAGGGCAAAGCAAATATTTTTGATACTACTTTGTTTATGAAGTATAAGTCCCATCAATTTGTCTTCTAAGCTATATCTGCGTCCCTCTGATTTACTACCAGTGTGATCTGGCTTTTGATAAAAGTAGCTACAGTGCTGTCCAATCGCTGCAATGCCTCATTTAATACTTCTCTTGTACTTCTGGTACTTCTAGTCAACCTTCTTGTACATCTTATATAGCTTTTTAGCATTTGGACTAAAGTGGGTTTCTCTGGTTACATGTACCTTCTGCAATAATCCAGATTCTGTCCTTGAGGACCCTTGAAATAAAGAATGAAATTTATATTATATTATATATTATTATTTTGATTTTACATTTATTTACTCACATTGTTTGTTATCTTTGTACATTGAGTGAATAATTATTATTATTAATATTATTATTATTATTATATATGTTAAGAATCCATTACAACTGTATTTTTACAAGACAATAAATTCAATAAAATGTTCCATTTGTAAATAAATGCAAGTGATTGATGGTCAAAGTTGACCAAACATCGTTTAAAGTTTATATTATGCTGATGTGATTTGAAATTAAAATTATTATTATTGGTAGGTATTATTATCTATAGAAACCAATGTTCTTTTCAAGCTTTCACAATTTTGAAAAACTTCTATGATTTGCTTTTTTTGGAAAACAGTGTTTCCCTTGGTATAATAGGCTAAGATATTCATGCAAAATTACTTTACTCACTTGCTTCTGAAGAATGCTCCTCAATTGGTTCTACTGTAGTTACATCAAGATTTTCTGGTTGTGAGGTGGTAACTGAGCAAACTTCTCCCAACTGTTGTGATGATGCTGAAGTTGATGGTTTTCCTGTAACCACACAATTTACACTATCAAAAAAAAATTACATGATCAATTTTATAATGCTTCATACAGTTACTGTGCTATCATCAATAAACTGTTTTGGAGCCCATTCTGGGAATGAGATGTTTGCAGTTAAGATAATGTTATCTCTAACTACCCTGTATAAATATTCACCTTATAACATTCCTAGTGTTAACTGGAGCTCAGTCTAACTCATTCCAAATATAAATTATTACCATCAATGAGTTGAAATGAGTTTTAAATGGAAAATATTAACTATATACTTCGTTTATTGAAGAAAGACACCAAACCCAACAATGTTCACACATATTTTATGTGACTTGCTTCATGCACTGTGTTGTCTGCCAATGCCAAACCAGGAGGGTGGAGCAGGAGACAACACGAAGGTGCATGTAGCCTCACCAGTCATGTAAAATATGCATGTATATGTTTGGATTTACTCTTCCTCCGATAAACAGACTATAGTTATGTAGTATCAATCACTTGTACTAAACACTGTTGAAAGTCACTACTTATAACAGTTTCCAAAAAGCTGAGTATATTATGTAATTGAAGTTGAGATATGTAAAATTGGGTGATACTAAAAATAAAACAAACCAACATACCTAGAATTTCATCAGTCGTGTTGGATATTTGTTGATCAGGAATCTATGCCATACTGAAACACTTTCCTGACAGCCTCTAACTGCACATTTGCGGTACCGAGACATGGTTTCTGAAAACATGCAGTTACAAAAATATGTTCAAGTTAAATGACTCAAGGAAATAGAAATGTCGCTAAGCTCTAAGAAGACATGACAACATAAACAAAATCAAATTTAACTTTTGCAGTTGTAATAATGCAGTAATACTGTACAATATTAAAATTGATGATTTTAGCAACATATTTAGATAAGCAGGACCGTTGAGAAATAAGCTTGGGCTGCTATGCCGGAAAATTCTCGAACCCCCATGCCGAAATATTCTCGGGCCCTTTTCTTGACATGAGCGAACCTAAGGACGTCTGTCCTTCAGTTCAGTAAGCGAGCTTCGGGCTCCCCTCAGCGCCGGACCCCCCTTCCTGAGCCACGAGCTCCTCTCTTGTCGACGGCCCTGAAGTTTTGTACCCATCATCTTAGCCTATAAAACTAGATTATACCACAATACTTACATGCTACAATAAACAAGCGCCGTAATCACTCTAATTTCACTACACATAAACAAAAAATAAAAGTATTATACGGTCCAAACACAAAGAAGAAAGGAAGCATCCACAACGATAATCCGTATTCACAAGATACACAAGAACTCAGCAAGGCAAGAACCAACTGGTTTATCATCACTGGGTTTATCTCTGGGGAGGAGAGGAACCTGAGAGGAACACAAGCCACGCCACGTCACTGACAGCTGTCAAATATCAGCTTCCAATTCCGACAAATGACAATAGCGATACCAGCCGCATCCAACAGATTGGTCTCCAACTAAAAACACTGTTCCAATTCATGACATAAGAGTGAATACCCCCTGATAAAAGCTCACCGAAGCATACAATACGAGTAGACAGCTATATATATATATATATATATATATATATATATATATATATATATATATATATATCTATATATAAATGGGATATTTTGTAGCATCGGCCATCTTGGATTCAAAATGACGCCAGATAGTTCGTCTTGTATTGTCAAAATTTCAGCTGAATTGGTTAAGGTTAACTGGTTCAAAATTCAGTTCCAAGATTTGTCCCATACAGGCAGGTCAAGTTAAATAAAAACTTACGATAAAAATCAACAATACCTTTTTGATATACCACAGTGTCAACTTTGATCCTAAATTATTTTGTGTGCACCTTAGGAAGTTGCATTGTTGTGTGGTAGTGTATATACTGTAAATTTCAGCATCACCCCCCACCCCCTGGTGTACAGATGCCAGTAATAACCGAGCAAATGGTACAGAAACCATAAGGCTGATACGGAGTGAAATATCGCTGTTTGGTATTAGTCAGCTAATCGTCTATGTTATTGAATTATGGCTAGTTTACGTGAGAGTGCATGAAAGCCCTCGTCCGTCTGTCTGTTGGTCGTTCGGTCGGTTGTCGATAGGTAGGGGAGGATATTGAAATTTGTCGGATTAGCGCAAAAGTAGGCAGGATGTAATTCTATTCTGTTGTGGGGTTTCTAGTTTCCTGGTTATTATCAGACTAGGGGAGAATTAACGCAAACCAAGAATAATTCGGAATCTGGAAGTGGAGTATTATAGAAACCCGATCAAAGCGAAACTAATACTTCAGCCGACTAGAGTCAGTATAGTACTCTTATTTTGCTTCCTTATGATCGTTATTACTCTGAGTTTCTGCAGTAGCAAGGCGATCTTCCATTCTCCGTTATCGAGATAAGAAGCTCCGTTATCTACGAAGAATAAGGGAGTGCTTATTTCATAAGGTTTTTCACTTACTCAGCGCTGTTGCTGGAATTTGTAGAACTGGAAAAGTCTTATTAAAATGATTTCTAGCTATTAAGACATATACTGGTTAAAATATAATAGAAATATAGGTTTTTAGGTCACATATAGATAAAAATAACTGTAAGAAGTGTTCTGAATGATTTAAATTTGTCTCCATTTTTGTTATGAGGTGCTTTTCAGAAAGGTCCTAACTCTAATCATTTTTTGAACTGGCCAAGTAAGAGAACTGAAATTTGGGACGATGAAATAGCCGTTAAAAATTTCCAGTTTGGGACTGGGCGCCATCTTGTGAGATTTTTTCAAATAGAATGAAACATTATGTGATACCTCAGCTTGCTTGTTCCAAGATAGTGCCCATTTATATAAATGTTCCAAAATGGAGCCCATCCCCAATCTTGAAATTCTCAACTGCCACTTTTACGCTGAAACATATATTCATATTTCAGCTTCGTTACCCTTCTTTCTATATTAACCAGTTTAAAAAATAAGTAGTGGGGGACCTTTTCGAAAAGCACTGGTATATGCAATGTAACAAGGTAGCTTGTATTCTAGAGCTACTGGTTTTGTCGTTGTTCTATAGTTCCATGGTTCTAAACCTATGTGTAATTACTATATTGGAGTAATAATCTCAAATATTATAGGAAATATTGTATAAAAGAATCTCACAATATTTTGCAATTTTACGATTAGTTTCAAGTTAAAATAATAAAAATAATAATAATAATAATAATAATAATAATAATAATAATAATAACAATAATAATAATAATAATAATAATAATAATAATAATAATAATAATAATAATTACAGGTAAAAAGGCGAAGTGTCAGCATAGCTGTTTTTCAACTCAACCCAAATTACCCAAACCCAATTAAATCAAAATAAAAAAGCCACATGATTTCAGGTAATCAGTTCAGTACTGTCAATTCACCACGGTTCACTTAAGTCCGCATAAGAACCTCTTTTTCCAACCACCGTTACTTGCTAGCACTGTCAAAAATAATGTTACGGACGGTTTTACGATTTATTATTTTCAATGCACCAAAAACTGTCAAAGATGATCTATCTATCTGTCGTCTTTCTGTCTAACCAACCCAATAATTGCATTTTGTATAGCTGAGATACATATTATAGACGTTTTTAGGCCCGTGTGTTGAAAAAAAGCGAAAGTCACACTATCAATTTCACTTCTAACAACAGAGCGTGGCAGAACTTAGTAAGTTACGTTAGACATTTTTACCTCACAGCTTTGGTGAGATTTTTTACGTTTGACCTACATACCGGATGTTTGAAATTCGACCCTCACCATTGGGATCTCGGAAACGGGAGGACATACGCAGTCGCTTAAACGCTTAGATGAGGGCAAAGCTGTGAATTTAGGTATCTAACAACGTGTTGCTAAGAAAATTTTCGAACTCAAAGTGCTACCGAAAGAAAAAAACGATTTTTTCCAAAATCATTTCATTTTGTTTATGACTTCGTTTGTAGTGGAATGTTAAAATAAATTGCGCATTAACGTTGCCACTCTTTGTTCTCAGCAAGCTGGCATAATTGGAACTTCACTTCGATTCATCTCTTGTAATTTTTTTCTTATGGATTTCTACTCAGATTTATAGAATATATGATTCTGATTCCAAAAATGTATAATACGTCATACACTGACATTGGCAAACAGAATTTACTAGGCAGGCCTTGAAATCATAATCGCTTGTTTCGTATACCAGGCCACGTCGCAACAAAAATTTCATATTACTTAACAGGTTTCACCATACCTTATTATTTTTTTATAATTTTAGTTCCTACAACAAATTATGACTGACAAAGAAAATATATGTGCTTAGGAATGAAAAGTCTATTTAAATGTGCAAAATTCTAGTATAGCGTCTATATGGAAAAACAAAGTTGGCAATGACATGTAATTTATTTTGGAATTCCATCTCAAATGAAGTTAGGAAAAAATAAAAATGGTTTTGGGGTAAATCTGATGTGCGATACAAATGACTGTCTGATAATTTCAAGGCTTACCTAAGAGATTATGTTTTTTTGGATTAACTAAGGTTTATGCCGCATTATACATTTTTGTAATCAGAATCAAAAACTCTATCCACCTGTGCAAATTCAATATGGCGTCCTTGGAAAAATAAAGTATATACAATAAAGACAAGAGACCAAACGTCATGTTGAAATTCTAATTATGACTTCTTGTAGAGGAGAAAAAGTGGCTATGTTAGTGCGCAATTGACTTTGATATCTCACTACAAAAGTCCGGAAAAAATTAAAACGATTTTGGGAAAATTCTTTTTTTGTTTTGTCTCTCTTCGAGAGTGCGTTCTATGCATTTTGTTAGTTACCTAAATGCGCCATTTAAGTGACTTCGTATCTCTTGTCGTTTCCGAGATCCCAGTAGTGAGGGTCGAATTTGAAACACCCGGTATGCTGATGTACAACGTATTGGCGACAAAATTTAGAAACTCAGTTTAGTAGTACAGCGGGTAAGTCTTGCAACTTCTGGTTCAAGGAAGAAGTGAAGATGCTAAGAATACACCCTTTGGAGGCAAGATATTGATATTCCGTCAATATGAGGATTTTGGAAAATGCTACATTCTATTCCGATTTCTAATGAGCATCTTGAAACGGGAAAACTTTGCAACTGATTTATTTTTTTGGTTCTAGATCAAAAACCTTGCCGAGTATTCAGTCTGATCACATTAGCAAATTGCCTCGAAATAATTTGTAAAGTATGGTTTTATTCGTGCAAGTTATTCAAGGGGGTAACATGGACGCTTATAATGGGTACACGAATGTTTGTGGGAAAACTTTTTATTTGACAGCAAAGAATGAGAAAACGTGTTTTTTTGGGATTCAATCAAAAGTGTTGAAAGGAGCGAAAACCTTTTCATTAAAGATTTTTAGGTTTTTACGAGACCTACAAATTGAGACTACACGTAAAATGATCCGACTACAAAAATGTTATGGCCGAAAAACGTGCAAAATGCAGGTACCGACATTTGTTGGTAATGCGACGATTATTTCACGCAACTACTTGAGATTCTTCAAATCCATAGAATTCATACTTCTAAATAACAACGACAAAATTGGATTACAT